TTTGGAATGAGCACAGGTTGTGTATTTATAGGTGTTAGTGGTTGAGTCCTAGGAGGACTGATCCTGCCACAATCCTTCTCCTCGTAGGAAAAGGAGTTGGTGTTTCACTTCGTATTCGAATCACTATTTGAGTCAAAGAGGGAGTCTAAGAAGATAGGGATTGTGTTCAAGGTAGGATTAGAGCTTCCATCGGTTACGTATGGAAGTTATCGAGTCAGCGCAGTACCCCGACCTCATACCCCCGATCTGGTTTTGGTGTTTTTAAAGGATGGGAAGGTCGGGGTTCAAGGCGATGGTCGGGCTTAAGTGGTCAGGGTTCATATACTGACGATATCTGGTATAATCAGTAATAAACATGTATTCTCAAATAAGCATGCAATAAAAAAGGTTGAATCCTAACTTTAAGGGTCCCCATCGTCCCGCTCCTAAAGCTTTGTAAGGAAGGTAAATCGCGAAATGTGCTCCGACAAATCAGGAAACAAGAATTGTCCGTACACTGCGCCTACAAAGAGTCCAATTCCATGTCTCAAGAATCGAACTCCCACACTGCGACTGCCAGCAAGGCGTGAGAGAACCTCACTCCTGTCTTTTACACCACTAGGTTATGTCCCCAAGGTTATGTCCCCAAGGGCTAAATAAGCATGCAATAGAAAGTCCTTTAAGCAGTCAAACTGTTGGCATTTGAGTAAAAATAAAAAATAAAATCCATTCTTAATGGACGTGTTGGATACTAAATTAAACAAATAAATGTCGACTTTCTAAAGTCTGAATATCTCATAAAGAAAGTGTATGGTACAAAGAGTCCGATAGTAACACAATTACTATCCCATCTCCTTGATGCCAGAAAGAATAATTGAAAATAAAGGGGCAAGTTGCAATAATACACATAACATAAATGCTAAAATACAAGTTGAACGAAAAACCAGTGGAAAGTTTCCATAATAACAATCTCGAAGGAATAAAAGAAACGAGAGCACAATGTGTTAATCCACCTCTCCAAACGAGATCTTAGTTTTTAACGGTCGTCACATGCCTCAGAAGCATTTGGACAACGTCATGGGAAATTCTTGAAGCCTCAGTGTTTAGGTGATGAATCTTCGCCTCTGTTTCTTGTTCAAGGCGCTTTACATTAGCACCCGAGTCTCCACTACTCTGTTCAATGCAACATGACAATCAAAATTTAATCAAGGATGAAGAAATTTCAGATTGCAAAACCACATAATATATAATTTGAGTTGATATCAGAAATTCAAAAGTGACAGTAGATTCAACCTGAAAAAAATTTCACACGACTGTGTTAACAAACACGGTGGGAACAAGACCAAAGGCCAAAATTTTCTTTTCACACGGTTAGCAGATTTTTGGAAGTGGAATAGACAGTAGGGACTACTTGGGGGATCAAAATGCTAATAAACAGAAGTTGAAAAACCCCAGAGTGAAAAGGGGTACAAGTTGGGGAGGACTTGTGCAATTTAGCCTTCTGTCAAAGATTTTACCTCTGCAACCTTCCTCTGAAACTCAGCTTCCATTTGAGCACGGAATTCAGCAATCTCCTTCTCGGCCTCTTCTTTGGCCTGCTTCAGTCGAGCCTGTTTTGCTGCAGATGAAAGGCAGACAAAATATGAATATCTAGCTGCTCAAGTTCATTCCATTCAGTCACTTGACATCTCATGATTAGATGCAGATGAACTGAACCAAATACTGGGGAGTTTCAAGCTGGAATTCAATCTTCAATAATTGCATAAAAGGCTCAAGGTCAAATACAATTGTAGAAAAAGCATTTACTACTAGGTAAAAACCTCAACTGTGTCCCAAGTTTGGAGAGAAAGAATGATCGAAGACTCAACAATGTCCACCTCTATATTAATTTAGAAAAACCCAACGGTGTCTTTCAGAGAGAAAAAAAGGATAATCCGTGAAGTAATCCTACCATCCAAAATTGAATGTCCTGATTTAACGTGGTCACTTCAGCTGAAGTTTGAAATATGAAGGTATATCTTGCAGCTTCTAACTTAGAATCCAAAATCACTCTGGAAAATTAACCAAAGCAAGCTAACTGGGATCCAGAATTACTACAACTACCATTGATGAAATAGAATCTCCTTCGCAATTGCCAGGACAAAATCCATCTTATAGCATGCATCACAATCCCCATACTAATGGATCTCTTCATCAATTGATCCATTTTAATTTAATGCATTTTTCTCTCTCTTCTTTTCAACCATACATTTTTCAATAAAATAATATTACACGTAAATCCAAAAATTTTCCTTCTTTTTTAACCACACATTTTCCAAAATATCACTATCCCAAAATACATTTTTCCCTAAAACCTCATTAAAATGGAGCCCAAACCAATGATGCTCAGACTCGAGTACGGATATTTATCTAAGTGTCGAATCTTTTATTTTCTAAAATGTAAGATACGAGTACATGGCTAAAAATAGTCAAAATTTCAAACACGGGTACGTGGGTACGTCTTTCAAATTTCAATTTTTTTACTAATCCAAAATGCCATTTTGAAAAGACCGAAACAAATTATTAACAAAGAAAGAAATGAGTATTGAATAAGGGGTTAAGATGAATAAAATAGAATTTTGAGGATTAGTTTTCAATTATGGGAATTACTAAATGTTATATAAAATAGAAAATAAGAGATTTAATTGTAATTGGAACTTAGTGGAGCACTAAGTAACATTATATGGAAAATATTTTTATTTTATACAAACGAAATCCTAAACCACCGTTACAAAGAGAGAAAGAAGGAAAAAAAGGATTGAAAGAAAAAAGAAAGAAGAAAAAGAAGGAAAAATCTAGCGTCGCCATCCTTCTCCACCCTCTCGGCGGTGACACTAAGTTTCTAGAGAGCGAAAACGGGAAAGAAGAAAAGGGAAAGTAAACGAAAAGGCAAAAAAAAGAAAGAAGAAGCAAAAAAAGGGCTAAGTATCCAGTTGAAATTTGAAGGATCCAACACGTATCTCATACCCATAACCATGTCATGTTGCATCCGACACGGGTACTCCGACTATTTTGAAGAATTCGAGCATCAGAGGCCCAAACAGACTCAAGGAACCACTAAATTTCCGGTTTTTACATCCAAATTCTAGGGCTTTATACCCTATTCCCCAAAAGTACAAGAAATCCTCTTGCCCTAAGGCAAAGAAATCAGTGCATAATCACAAGATATTGAGTTTAGCCTCCTAATATAGGTTCCTAGATGACTGTTTAACTTTATTTTACCACCTCATATGTATAATTGTGGCTAAATGACACTGTGATGTTGGCATTTTCAGCTGGTGACAGATGTGATTTAATGATAATGCTATAAAAGCATCTGATCTGCAATTTTTTCGCAAGGGCCTTCCAACAATGGTTTAGGTGAAAACTTGCTTCTTTTTTGAAAGAACTTTTGCAGTATGAAGCACGTACAATTCTTCAAGGATGGTGTGTCCATGTCTGTGTCCAAGTCCAACATATATCATGTTGTATTAGACACCGACACTCCTTAAACAATCTACGACAAGTGTGTGATATACCACACGACATGTCCCATTTTTTAACTTTCTGACACTCGAATTATACTATAGGAACACTCATCAGGGAAATGTACATACCATGTGACATGTCCTATATTGTCATATGGTTTTTAGTTATAACATGCAAGGATCATGTCCCCAACACATAAAGGACAAGGAAAGTCCCAACTTATAAATTCTGGTATATCAAATAAACTGAAATTTTCAGTTAATCCTTAAAAAATTTAATTGTTCACGTGTCCTTGTCCATACTTCTTAGCTTTTGCACTACAAGAACAGTTTATCCTTGTTAAAAGAGGCATTCTTCGTTTTCTATAGACACAGTTTCATCCTTCTCCTCCTATGGCCTACCCCATCCTCCGCCTCCCTAATGCCTGCCCAGAGCCCTATCCCTGCTCCCTTTCCTCTTCCCCTCCCCCATGTTACCATGTCACTTAGGAGACTATCAAGAAGCTCCTAAGTCAAGGGGGTATAAAAGGCAAAGGTTGAGTGGAGGAGAAGCTGCAAAGAGGGGAAGAGGAGGGTAATATGCAGGGGGATTGGGAGGGACATACAGGGGCAATAGGTGGAGATGCAAGGCGGTTGGGAAGCCGTTGATGAGGGTGAGGAAGAAGAGGGTCGATTAAGCCCCTATTTGGCTCCATTTTTGAAAAAAGTGTATTTTTCTCTCTTTTTTTCATTCACACATTCTTCAATATAATAATATTACACGTAAAGCCACAATTTTTCCTTATTTTTAACCAGGCATTATCAAAAAAATCACTATTCCAAAACATATTTTCCCCCAAAATCTATTTTTAACAGAGCCCAAACAGGGGCTAAGGATTAAGACATTTCAGAAGGCCATTTGATATAAAGGTGAAAAACGAGGCCTTTTTCATTTCCTCTCCAACTTGGTCCTCCTTAAACATCGTCCTATAATTGATGGGCATAAATGAGGAAAAATGGACTTGGATGCAGCGGAGGCCATAGTTGGATGAATGATAAAAAATAACCATGCCTCACTTCACCAGTCATCTTTTGAATAACATTGTGTACGGTAAAATTATTAGCCAAACCAGTAGTACAAAAGTAAAACATGACCCAGAAAATCCAACTTCCTAAATCTAAAAAGCCCAACCAGCAGATTCAGATCAAGCTTCTCAGTAACCAGGGGCACCTTCAGTGGTGATAAGTCAAAAAGTCAAGTACAATTATAAAGATAGAGAGATAATCACCGGTTCTAGCAGCATTGACAATATGTTGAGCTTCTTGTTCCGCAGCTAATAAGAGTTGAATTCCATTTTGGCCGCTACTGGATGCCATGCTGAAAGATATCAAAGCAGCTGTACTGATAAATGACAAGTACCTAATTGAATTAGATGATATTTGAGAAAATCACATGCACTTGAGAAATATCAAGATTATTTTGAACACTTATACAAACACACACAAACTCCATGAATGTTTAACAACAGGATCGGTAGCAAGAGATTCACTTTAAACTGATTTCAGCTTCACATTTCTAAAAGTACAATATCGACTTTAGAACTAACCCTAAATAATTTAATGATGTCAAAATGCCCCTTAAAAATGTGGCGTGCAACATGCAAATATTATTTATTATAAAATCCAACCTCGCCATTAATAAAATTCTTTCCAATAACAAGACGGGTACTATACTTCAAGATATAGAGTTCAACACACTAAATTGTTTTATCTATGTTTCAATTTATGCACTAAACTATAGTTCTTTGGTGTCTAGGATTCTACCAGTATCAACCAGAAATCAAACAAACTAAAAGTCTCGTGGATAACAAAGCTCTAAGGTTACATTGAAATTTGATTGAAGTTTAGAGATTTCCGCTACGTTTTACACCAGTTCTTATCTTCATGCCAATACGGCTAGATCTGTCTCTTCATTGTATTACCATGTTCACTGCAGATCTAATTGATTCAGAAAACGCTAAAAATGGTAATTTGCTCTGAAAAAACATGGTATTGCAACTAAAATAGTCTTTCATCTTTCACTAAATTCAAGAATTTTTAAGGGGAACAGGACACTTTCCAATCAAAATAGCGCAAAGAGAGAAGAAAAGGAATATTGTATTATGTAATACTGGAAATCATCAAGGAAACTAGTACAAAGGAGATCTAATTAGATACAAGCAGTCTAGAGCTCCAATATTTCTACTAATCTAGGCTATTATGTACATCTTGATGTCAACATTAGCTATCAATGTCATACTAATCTCAACGCACCCTAAAAAATGTTTCAAAATCAGAGACTACAATTAAGGAGATATTACTCTATTCCCACTACCATTTGTAAGATAAAAAGCAACCAGATTCAGTTCTTAATTTAAGTCCTGTTTGGTGGGATTAAAATCAGATTTTTAGTAAATTTGATAAAAAGTTGATGAAATGTATGGTTGAAAAGTAGTGGAATCCATAAAGTTTTATGTGATTAAAAAATTGATTGGTGACTTTGACTTAGATTAAAATCTGAATTTTAATCACAACCAAACAAGAGCTAAATATTAATATTTCTCTATCTTAGTAGACGTTTACTGCTTGAAAAGGGAAGGACTTCTCATCTTCTCCTCATTATGGAATGGAGATGTCTGTGATCAACTTGTCTAATTACAATCTAAACTACAACCCTCCAGCACATGGCCATACATTTGTTACAGCGTAAGCATCTCAATCTCAAAAACCCCAAAACTATATAAAATGGGAACCAACAGTAGAAAATTCTCGAGCCTATTCTCCTACCTCACCCTAGTTGCTAAATTCAAATAAAAAATCCTAAGAAGAATAACCTAATTTCCACTTAAGATACTAAGTTACTTAAACAAAAATTACTTTTCAAGAAATATTTAACAGCAAAGGTAAACCAAAATCACCTAAAGGACTATAAATAGAAACCACTGTAATATCCTACAGTAAAGTTTCAGCAATCATGCCCGCACAGTACCCTTTTCTTGGATAGTTTAAAACAGCTTTCATGCATGATTCAACGGCAATAACTGCGCCAATGAGTTATCTATTCCATCTTTTCTTTTTCGTTCTCGTATTTGGCAATGACTAAAAATGTGTTCGGTAGAAGTTGCTTTAGATCTTGCAATGGATCAAACAGTGATTCGTCATCTAGCAGAGGTTCAATTCGGTATCATAAACAAAAACCAAAACCGAAACTTTGAACCAAATCAAGAACACAAAAGATTTTCACCCAAAATTAAAAACACAAGTATACAACCCAATTACCAAAAATTCTGAAATGAAATTACACGATTCATTAAAAAAAAAAAAAATAATAATAATAATAATAATAAAATCATCATTATTTTCGACAATCTGGACAAAGTCCGAGGTAACCGTTTTACCAGTATCAATTAAGTCAAACAAACTGAATCAACCAGATAGCAGATCAAGAAAAGCAGAGCAACCCTTCAAGTCTAGATCTATTTTGTTCGAGTAAAATGAGGCAAGCCAAAATGTAAACAAAATTAAGATCATAATAAGAAAAAAAGATCTATTTTTTAAATTTGTTTTATAAAATTCAGAATTTGTGTGTAGAGAAAGATTCGGTGCGATAGGAAAAGAATACCTGATGAATCGGAGCTTAGACAATCGTAGACGACGATTATCGGATGCAGAGACGAGTTTAAGACTTTATAGGGACTAACCACCAAGATTTAAGTTGAAAAATATGTTTGGTCAAGCTTCAAACGAATGAAATTACAATTTTTTTACTCACTTTTAAATGTTTAGGTCGAATAAAAGAGGCAATCATAAATTCTGGTTTATTTCCATAGAATCGTGTTTTGATCATAGGAGCTCAATTCTTATATATTTTGGGTGCATTATCTAATCTCGGTTTTAAATGTTTAGGTCGAATAAAAGAGGCAATCATAAATAAATATGTATTTTGAATAGGATTGTGACGTGATACAAATGCCTATGAAAACTGCTTCTTTTTTATTAAAATAATGTTTTTAATATTTTTTTATCCTAAGATGAGCTTTGAACCAATGATCTCTTAGTCAGGCACTTTGGCCGAGTCAATAATCAAGTCAGGTCAGATAACTATGCTTTGACCCAATCACTTTATAGTGAAAATAAAATACTTATGAATAACTTTACTTTAGCGTAAATATTTCAACCTTGGCCAAACACATTTTTAATTATTTTTCATTCTCAAATTAAATTAATGCTAACAAAGAGTGTGAATGATACACGATACCCCAAGTATAAAGGAATAACTTTGCATAGCCTTTTGTCATTTCTGTGTTAGAAGTCTTGAAAATTGAATGACTTCTACAATGTGCAATGGAAAAAATCCCACGATAGTAGGATTAGGTTCCGAACACTTCAAGAACAAATATTCCAAATTGCTTATTTTATTGGTACATTCCAGTTGCAAGAACAGTATTTCTGATGGAAAGTAGCTCATAAGCAGCATCACTCATGCTCAATCTCTCTTTTGCTGTACTCATCGAACAAGCCAATCCTACTTCGAATACTGAAACGAAGCACTCCTTCAATTTGTGAATCTTTGTGTAATTCGTGTTCATCTCCACTGATTTGCATTCTTCGACGAGTACTGGATCGATAATTTCAGCTACTCGATCAGGCAAAGCTACCTTAACGAAAGAATGTAGGCTAAGTCCATCTTTAAACATGTCGTCTGTAGGCCTTTTTCCAGTAAACATTTCTAACAGAAGAATTCCAAAGCTGTACACGTCACCTAGAGTCGAAACCTGACTTCCCATCCCATACTCTGCAATGCACATATTAAAAGAAGGCAAAACAATCGAAAGATCCATATCGTTAAAGGGCTCAAAATGCATTTACCTGGAGCAGCGTAACCGATAGTTCCTCTCGCACCAAATGAGCTTGTCGGGGTGTTTTGATCATCTGTTGGAAGGAATTTTGCTAAACCAAAGTCTCCTACATGTCCAACCATTTGATTGTCCAGTAGAACATTGCTTGGCTTAAGATCACAGTGAATGATTGTTTCATGGCAGTGATGATGAAGATAATCAAGTGCAGAAGTAATGTCAATGGCAATGTTCAGTCTCTGAATAACATTCAATTTAGATGAATCATCACTTGAATGTAACCATCGATCCAGATTACCATTATCCATGAATTCATAAACCAGAGCTTTGAAATCGTTACCTCGATTATCAATACCTGAGCATGCTGTTAGCACCCTGACAAGATTCCGATGTTTAATATTCCTAAACGCTTCACATTCGACTAGGAAACTCTTGGAAGCCCCACGTCGAAAAAGATCGAATACCTTTACAGCAAGAACAGTTTCTGTACCATCAAGAAATCCTTTATACACAGACGAGAAACTACCCGTTCCAACAAGATTTGCCGAACTGAATCCATCGGTAGCTTGAAATAGAGTTTGATAGGATAATTTCAAAATAGTGTCTTCTGAAAAATCCGAAGAAGGGACCCTTTTTTTCTTGGAATAGTAAAGAATCAGTAAGGCGGCAGATAACAAGAGAAGTCCTAAAATACTACATACTAAAGAAATTGTTAGTTTGAAAGTTAAGGTCGAAGTGAACTTTTGGGATGGTTTAGGTTTATTTTCACATAAAGGAATTTGAAGTCCAGGTGTGTTGACACAAAGATTTGGATTCCCAATCACTGAAACAGTAGTTGCATTTCTAAAGATTCCTTCATTTGGCAATACACCCTCAAAGGAATTGAAGGACAGATTTAAATATTGCAAATCAAAGCTTCCCAAAAATTGAGGAATTGTTCCTGACAGATTGTTTTGAGAAAGATCAAGAAATCTTAATCCTCTTAAAGTACTCAAAGATGAAGGGATCGTCCCTCGGAAGAAGTTTTTGTTCATGAGAAGTTTTTCCAATCGGACACAACTGCTGAGGGTTACAGGGATCTCACCAGACAACTTATTCTCGGAAATAACAAGTTCACCTAGATTATCAAGATTTCCAACTTCAGTCGGAAGCTGACCAACTAGATGGTTGTTAGATAAGTCCAAATATGAAGATAAGGAAGAGAGACTGAAAACTTGTGAAGGAATTGTGCCATTAAGATTGTTCTTGGAGAGATTCAATCCTTGCAAGTTCTGGCACATTCCCAGGCTAAATGGGATTTCACCGTAAAAACTGTTATCGTTTAGATGAAGCTTGGTTAGAAGGCTTAGATTTCCAAGAAAAGATGGAATTTTCCCAGAGAAATTGTTGTGTGATAGATCAAGAATATGTAGATTCCTTAGCTTCCCAATTTCAATTGGGATATGACCTTTGAATTTGTTACCCCTCATCTCAATATTCGTCAGATTTTCGAAATTTTCTATCCAACTTGGAAGGTTTCCTGATAGTTGATTGTTGCTTACTAATATCCCCGTAAGTTTTGTGGAGAGATTTCCGAAATCTTTAGGCAACACCCCACCAAAGTTGTTATCAGATAGGCCTAGCTCCTCTAAATTACTGGCGTTGTTCAGTGACGATATGAAAATCAGATCAGTGGATTCTCCATTTCCCAAGTAATTGCTGGAGATGTCTAGGTGGCTGAGTTTATGCAGATTTGAGAAACTAGGCATGTTTCCAGTGAGTTTGTTTCCTCCGATAAAAAGAAACTCAAGATTCGACAAATTTGACAGGGAAACAGGAATTGTTCCTGTAAACTGGTTTCCTGCAATGCCAAGATAGTACAGGTTTGGAAGAGTCTTGCCGATATAAGATGGAAGTGTACCTTGCATTTGGTTCATTGGCACAAAAATAGTTGTAATAGAAGAAAGATTGAAAATTGTAGGAGGCAAAGAACCAGACAATCTGTTTTCACTTAATCCAATGTATTCCAGTCTATTCAGCTGTCCGAATTCATTTGGAATCCTCCCGGCAAGCCTGTTGGAGGAAAACCCGAAAAATTCCAGGGATGACGCGTTCCCAAAAGTGCTCGGGATTTCACCTACAAGACTATTTCTTGGAGCTTGAATCAGCTGAAGCTTTGACAATGATCCAAGTTCTGTTGGAATCTTTCCATAGAGATTATTCCATGAAAGACGAATCTCGACAAGATTAGAACAAGCAGACAGATTGGCAGGAATTTCTCCATCAAATGAATTATTCCTCAGCCATAAGAATCTCAATCTTCTCAAATTTCCAAGTTCTTGAGGAATGTTTCCCATAAAGCTGTTGTTATCAAGAATAAGTTGATGAAGAAAAGTAAGATTTCCAATGTATGGGGACAGAGATCCTGTCAGTTTCTGATGCTGAAGATTCAAGCTTGTAATTTTTTGGTATCTTCTACTGCAAACAACACCTGGCCAGTGGCAAAAATGTGCAGATTCATTCCAAGAATTCAGGAAATTAAAGGGATCATTAGTTATTCTGCTCTTGAATTCAAGAAGTGCTAGCCTGTCTGTAGCATTTGAATTTTGTGAATTAATGGGCACAAGAAAAAAGCATAAGAACAAACAGAAGAGAAATGCTTTTGTCATTAAGGTAATTTGTTTAACTGAAAGGAGCAATGCCAACTTCATCTAGGCGTTGATTGGGGAGTGCAGGGTACACTGGTTTCTTGTCACCAGGCTAATGAGAGTTGGTATGACTTCTATTGGCATTATATAAGTGGAGATGATGAGCTAACCAGTCATATAACCCCATAAGATGGGCCTTTCACAAGTAGTCAATTCAATGAACTCTTTCGAGAATGGACGATATGGTGGTCCATTTTCTCAGTAGGGCGATTTTACCCTCTGTTCACAATGACAGACTCATATGAAGGGATTTCTTTTGTAATATCATTGTTAGACGGAGTTGAATAGAACTCACTCTTAAAATTGACTTGCATGGTAATAGTGCCCAATCCTAATGTACTTATAAACCCCAAGACACATGTCACAAAAGCAATTGACACTCAAAATGAATTGTTTTCCTCAGTTTTGATGGATCGAATTATAATATTAAGATTAGCATTTTAGAACCTTCAATTTGTTTACACGTTTCTCGCCTACCTGTTTCTTTCTATACACCACGTATCCCTTATGAAGTCAATTTGTTAGGTAAAACGTAAATGATAGCATATGAATTGTCTCGTCTAGGGACTCCTTTCTTATGGGGCTAAGAAGTTTGAAAATTAATGGCATATTTTCCATTATTTGTAAGTTCATATGCAACTTAGTCAAGATTTCAACTACTTTATTTAACTTTATTTAACAAAATCAAATCTAAATTAAAACTCTCTTTGAATATTATACAAGAAAGATAGGGACATTTTGACATGAAAAGGAGGGTTCCTCCACTCATCGTCCCACAAGAAGCCAGCTTACCAGCGAATGAACCAGAAGCACAAGTCGAATGAACAAATAAACTTGTCAAGAGAGCTTTAATTTTGTATACACGTTTTATCATAGGATTCAACCTTTGGTGACTCGGAAATCAAAGGTTATATTTTTTTATGTTAGATTGTGACCTATATAATTACTCTAGAAAACGAATCGCTTCTTCTTGTCAAATTTGTGATAGAAAATTGTAGATTGCTTTTGTGTAACATTTTCCAGTTTAGAATTTGATTAAGTGAAAGGGAAAACATCAATCTAATATTAAACAGATTTGACTTTGTCTTGGCAGCAACTACCAAGAAAAGGTTAGCTCCGCAGCTGATCTACAGACAAGGTAATTTGGTACATTAGTGGCCGGCATCAGACCAAAAAGACCTAATGGAGTAATCCCGTGATCTCAGGTTAACGATGCTATTAGGGCCTCAGTAAACAAAGGCAAAATCGAGATGTTCCTCGCATAATATTAAAGATCAGCCATTAAGGAATGAATGCAATCAATTCCCATTCATCCAACTTATCAGTTTCGCAAATTTATACCATTCTACATTATATGAACCATCAAGATAGTTGTAAATCATAATATATCCAAACCATCTACTTAATCTCTGTAGCATCAGCATCAGCAGCATCTCCATCCTCGACCACCGAGCCAGCAGGGGCCTGATCTGCTCTAGTCATGAGCCACTTCACAACCTCTCCGAACACAAGTTCCACATTTTCATCAGGCTCTCCAACCAGCTGATGCCACATTCCGGGATAAATCTTGAGGGTTTTATCCTTACTCGCAGCACATTCATACAGCCGTTCTACGCAGGCTGGGTCACATACAACGTCACCACCTCCGTGCACGATCAAAAAGGGAACGTCCACCTGATTAAACAGTCCTTGTAATTCTCTGCACACCCTCAGTAACTCTTGTGCCGTTGCTGCGCGTGGCCTTTGTAAGGGCCTCCTTGGACTTGCTACAGCCAACTTTCGCTTCCATTCCACCTTACATTGTTCAAGAAAGAGATCAAATCAACAAATACAATAAACTAAAGGAGACAAAGGAAACTAAATAACAAAATAACAATTTTCTAATCATTTATGTTAATCTTGCAGATAGAAAAAATCAGTATAACTCTTCAACAATGAAAATTCAGAAGTTAATGACATTGCAAAACTTGTTATTTAAACATATGAAAACTTGGGCCATAAATTGAACTCTTGGGAAGAATTCATAATAAAATGATATTGCAATACAGAGAAATGCTCAAGAACTATTTATTGACAGATGATTTGCAATTTTTTCATGTACAATGCTTAAAAATATAGCAAATTAATAAACTTTTGCTTACAAACCAGAATTGAATTAGAAAGAATACTACATTTGTCTTACTTCAAAGTATTATGTGACAAGAAATTGAATCAGAAACTGTAGTTTTTAAGTTATAACTTTTAACTCTAACCTCACCACACGACTGCAAATTTGAACTCTCGGAGTCTAAAAAGATTTACAAGTAACATCAATATTGTATGGCTTCTCTCTCGAGTTTCTAACATTCTCATGGCGCGTAGATGTTGCATTCGATTTGAATGGTGATAAGTGTATTTTATACACTTATTCGGAGCTTAAAATAGTGATATTTGGTAGTTCTTTTGACAAAATACATCTTAAATTATTGTATTTTATGTCATATAGGTAAAACTCAATGGTTAAACGAGGAATTGAAAGAAAGAAGCGAAAATTGGTGAAAAAAATGTGAAATCCAAAGTATGAGGACTAAATTGTAACATTTCAATAGTTGATTCAGAGCATGAAATGAAGGTTGAAGATGTTACGGGTTCAATTGGATACAATTGGAAGTTAAAAGATAAAATGACTTAAAAGTTTTCAAGAATTGAATTCGGGGACCAAAATGCAAAGTTTGAAAGAGCCCAACTTAAGAAATCTAAAATCAGTAACTTCAAACTTCGCTTGGGCGAGAGCCCCATTTCCTACTTGGCGACAGCCGAGGCCAGAATCTCAGTTCGCGGCTTGTTTCCTTTTTCATTCCAAATTTTACATGAAAACCACTTTCTTGCACAATTTTTTATCTAATTTCACCTTTATAAATACAAAACATGGGCAGCCAAAAAAAAAAAAAAAAAAAAAAACCTGTCATATTTATAGTACACTCTAATATCCCATCAATTCATACACCAAAGAGACAAATTCATAGTTTTCGAGAGAAAATTAAAGGGGACTTGCAAGAATTCAATCAAGTGAAGATTCCACACTTTGAGAAGATAAGAATACAACTAAAAAATCAAAGGAGCAATTCAAGGGATGAAAATATTAAGAAATTCACTGTTTGAAACATTAATTGACAGAGGAAGAAGATTTTGGTGCAAAATTGACTTCTTTTTCTACATCTACAGTAAATATTCAATGACAACACATTATTTTTCATCTTTCATTATGAATAGCTAAAATGCTTGTTAGGGAGAACAATATAACATATTTGGGACCTTTATTCAAGATTTTTGTTTTTTTATCTTTTATGAGTTGATTTTGCTATGAGCTTAATGTATTGAATTACTTGATCACTAATTTGATGATTTTGTGAATCTTTTACGAATCAATATGTGAGTTTGAGATTTAGACCATATATAAAAATTTGGTAAATTAGTATAATGTGTAGAGATACCTATATTGATTATTGCGGACATAAATAAATTCTTAGAACCAAGATTTTGTTTAACTAAGGTTGATTTGCATAGAAATGTGGAATTGAATTAGTTAAATAGGCTCAATTAGAACTCGATAGAAATAAATTGAATACAATAGGAGAATTCGATCGAACACTACATTAGATTGTGAATCTTGATTTAAGACTAAAAGATGATCAATAGCTATCTGTTCATTATTTAATTTTTAAATCAATTTTTGTGTACATCCATGTATTCTTACCATTTAGAGTAAAAATCAAAACATACAAATCTTTATTTGCTTTGTCGAATAGTGGTCTAAAGCTCAATATAGTATCGTAGCTTAACTAGCAATTTGACCTGTCTAAAGCTCCAAGTACGAGGTTTTGACCATGCTTAACTTTTAAGAGATAATCCAAGACACAATATATAACAAATAAAATTAGTCCAATTCAATTTTGTGAAAAATATTAAGGAAAAATGTTACCTTGAAGGAAACAAGAGGTAAGGAACCGCGAGTCGGGACCACGCACCAAGTTGGAATCAAAGCAGCCGCTATGGATAGGAAATGCTCAAGCGGCCATGGAGGCTTGAACTTATCACTTATACCACACATAGCCCCATTCAACACGACGCCGTCAAACGGCCTCACCGGACAGACCCCATCACGGCGGAGCGTGATCAGCAACGCAATTGCCCCACCCAATGACTCCGCATACAGAAACGCCGGAAGAATTGGGGCATAACCCGCACGAAATTTATTGAAAAATAGGACACATTCATCTACCACAAGACTGATATCCGGCAAATGGGCGACTAATCCCTCGGAATAGCCATGGCCCATATGGTCTATGGCGCAAACAGCAAAACCGTGTTTGGCGATATGGACAGAAGTCAAAAGAACGAACCAGCTGGACTCTCCGGTGTAGCCATGGACCACGCACACAATACCTGTCAAAATTATGGCAAAATCAACCTTCACTTACCCTCGTTTATTAAACTGTGGACAATAGATAACGATACCTTTGATGGGAGTTTGATCAGGGGTCCACCATTGAGAGAAGAGCTTGAGGCCCTGCTTGCTGGTGATGTACTCCGAGGCGTGGCTCACCGAGTGGCGTGCGTAGAATTGTTCGGGACTCAGTGAGCCAAACGGGCTCGTCTCGTTGGCTTCTGCTATTGGGTGCTTCATTATTGGTGTTTGATGGGCTGGGGACCTAGGGTGTGTAAATAAGAGACGAGAGAAGGCGCGACGGACGGGTTGCGTTGGATAAGTTATTGGTTCTATCAAGAAACCTTCTTGGAGCTATCAACTGTTGTACAGGGAAAGGCTGTCAGTAAATTGACAGGGGGACATTTGGCTCAATTCCATTGGTTATTTACAAAAAATCAAAAATAAATAATTGAGCATTTTCCCATTGAGATTTTACAGGAAAGATGCAAGGAGGGTGGGCTCCATGTAAATTTTTTTTATTGAGATGAACTCCACTAATATGTATATTCTATAAAATATCTATATGTATTTCCGTAAGTGTAGAACTGTTGAATAAATAAATTCCAAGTTGCTTGGCAGTTATTTCCGTGTACTCAACAAATTTATGGAAGGATAAATGGCAAAAATACAAAATAATGCTTGAGAGACTCTCCAACTGGTTAATTTTAATAATGGCCGTTTGAGACCAAATGGAACCCCAAAATATTATGAAATCATTTAATTTAAGTTTGGACTGTTTTAATTGCTTCAATGATTTAATTTGAAACTAAGTTTAGGACTCCATGGGCCTTTAGGCTGCTAGGCGGCAATAGGAGACATTGGACTGCTCTACCCTAGGTTTGCAAGGAGCGACCACCGGGAATGGGGAACGTGATGAGTTTAGTAGGATCGTGAATAATGTTGTGTAATACTACAGACGTTATAGAACCAATTTAAGTGATATGCAAGCGATAGAGCGTAGTAAGCCCCTGTTTGACCTTATTTTTTCAAAATTCATTTTTAGACCCATTTTGATTCCAATTTTTTCAAAAATAAGAATGAAAAATATAGTCATTATAAGACCCACACAAAAGATAAAAAATCAAATATGATGGTTTGATATAATGGATAACAATCATATTTTTCATTTTTGTAGCTAAAGAATGGGAATCAAACGGGGCTTAATCACATTCTCTTATAAAATATTTTACACGTAAATTTAAAATTTCTCCTTAGTTTTTAACCATACATTTTCCAAAAAATTACTATTCAAAAACATATTATCCCCCAAAATGAGGTCAAATAGGGGCAATGTGACTCATTTCCCTATTTGTAAGATGATGCATCAATTAATAACATTGTATATTTTGAACTAATGTTTAGCACATGTGATAGTAAATAACGTTACTTGCAGGAGCTCGTGTATACATGACGTGGGGCCCATATCTAAGGTCAAGTTTGGGAGATTATGTCATCACCACTCTCAAATGAATTGCATTAAGTTAAAAAAAAATGAATGTCCAAATAAGTTGATGGTTTGAATGTAACAATCTGCAAAGTAAAGAGTAAAATAAATTAAAGTTCAGTGGTCATTAGTGAAATTAGCTTGATTTATGACATATTTAAGACAACTCACAATAAACAAGATAGATTTTCATCTTTAATAATGTGTCACGTGCTAATACTATTTAATCCATCTTACTAAACAATTTGTAACACCATGATCACTAATAGTCATCTCCTTTAAGATGTTCGTTTGGGAAGAATTTATAAGCGACTTAATTTATAGATAGAAAAAAAAAAGTAAAAAAAAATTGATGATGATGTTTGATGGGGATTCAATCAAATTTTTAATAAATTTTGATAAAAATTGAAGAAATGTGTGATTAACAAGTTGTGAGTCCCATAAATATGTGATTATAATTATTTGTTGAATTTGAAGAAAAGCAAAAAATAATAATAACAATAATAATAATAAAATTAAAAAATCCTTCCCCCATCCCATCCTTCATCGCTACCTACACAACCCATCGTTAGGGAGGTCTTGAAGGGGGAGAGTAGAATGAGGGAAAGCTAAGAATCGAAGGAAACATGAAGGGAAAGAAAAAAACGAGGAAGGAAAAAATAAAAGGTAAAAGTGGATGGGGATGGGGAAAGCACTGTGATATAGGAGCGACCCTAGCGAGGTAGAAAAGGGGTTAGTGTGTGGAGGAATAGGAGTCGAGGAGGTGCACGGAGTGTATTCTCCCCCCTTCCGCACTCCATTTTTTTCTTTTTTTTTAGGTGAGAACTATTTACCCATATGGATAAAAAGCTAGAGTCAGGTGTTTTTTTTTTTTTTTTTTTTTTTTTTTGGTTTTTTTTTTTTCTTTTTTTTTTTTTAGGTGAGAACTATTTATCCATAAAGGGGAAAAGCTAGAGTCAAGTGTGTCTTAACCAAATTGTGGGTATTTTAAGCACGATATTGTCAAATTGTCCGAAAAGACAATGCTAAATCTTTCATAACCTATTGTCACGGACTTGGGCCATTTTAAGCACCATCTTATTTTAGTACTTTACAATGCACATAAAACCTTGTTGCGTTATCGTACTGTAATTGCCTTGGGTGGTTACATTTTCCCTATGAATAAGCACAAAAGGATGTTGCATTATTTAATTGTGGTGGAAGAGAGGTGGTTGCAACTACCAACTTAACCCCTTCATGCATTCATTGTGAACACTCCAAGATTGCTCATTTTCACTTTCAATTATTTTCTACTATATGTACAGGGCCTTATGGGTCTGTCCCCCTGTAACGTACATGATGGAACCCTATAACGTATATGGTTCCTCCTCGTATAGCATCTCTTTATTTTCTACACACATTTTCTTTTTATTTCACATCAAGGTTACTTACCGTATAATATTTTTTAGTATGAAATTATAATGTGCGGAGAGTGGAGATGGGATTAGATCAAATAAGGTAAATAGTCTGTAAATGACATATTTTTCAATAAAACATAAAAGAATATATTCACCTTAATCGACTATTATAAAGCAAATATTTTTTTGATAAAAAGATTAATCTCAAATAAGTAACTTATTTTATTCTTTTTTCAGTGAAATGACTTCAACACTCTTAGATAATTTAATAACGTAATAAGGTCATCTCGAACGCTGCACCAAAATTTGCACTATTTTGTACCAAATCTTACACCAAACCAAAATTTTTCTCCAACCATTACACCAAATGAACAGTGATTTATTATTTTATTCATTCTTTCGATTTTTGACAATGTATTTATTTAAAAAAATTATTTATTTATTTATTTTATAACTATATAAATTACTAAATCATAACTTCGTTAAATTAACAAATATATTGATTACTAAATTATTCACGTGTTTTATATATTACGTTAAATTTACAAAAATAATTGATTATATTATTAATTTATGATAAACAATTACGTTAAATTTATAAAAATAATAAACTTTAATAATATAAACTTTACGTTAAATTAAACTTTAAATTTAAACTTTATGAATTAAAATTTACGTTAATTATTATTGATTATATTATTAAAATAATAAACTTTAATAATATAATTAATGGTGTAATTAATTATTATTATTATTATTATGATCATCATCATCATCATTATCATTATAGAACGAAAATAACACAAATATTCTTAACTATTATCTTGAAAAATGAAAATTAAGGGTAAAATGGACATTGCACCATTTGGTGCAAAAAATGGCGTAATGAATAGTGTTGCACCAAATATGGCGCAACACTATTCACTTTGCACCACTTTGTACCAAAATGGTGCAAAGTTTGGTGTTGCATTGAAGCAATTTTGCACCAAAAAATAGTGCAAAATGGTGCAATGTGTTCGTGTGATACCCGCAAGCGTACGAGATCGTTGATAAGTAATAATAAGTGAGTTAAGAGTTATCGTCCCACAGGGAATAAATTCAATTTAAGTTTACTAGTTTCGTACGAAATCCGAATTATGAAAATAAAGTAAATATTTTGATTTGATTTAAACTAAACTAATATAAGAAAGCAATGAAAATTTGGGTTTTGTCAAATTATGGAGAATTGTATTGGATTTCGATTCCGCCTATTGCTATTTATTTCAATTCTTAATTCGTAATCTAATTCCATTCACGTGTACTTGACAATCGATAACGCTAAATTATTCAATGCTCTTTTCCAAGACACACGAATCTATGATTAACACGACCCGATCATATTCCTAATCCGAATTCATATAAAAATCACGCATTTAGTTCAAGTTATCAATAGAATTGCATGTATGATAGATATTATTCCTAATCCTAACTATACATATTAATTTTGCCGCGTTCTAAACTCATTGTGAGTATTCCTATACTACAACAAGTAACTAACTATTCAATTGATGACCAAACAATTCAATAGTACAATGGGAATGCAGAATTAATCAAGAAACACAAGAATTAAACTAAATTACTTGTCTTGAATTTAAAATAAATAACAAATAGGGTTCATCTCATCCAATAAAAAAAGGAATTAGCCTAACATGATATTGAAATTAATGAACAAATAAAAGTGGAAGGACATCATCAAAATTTTTGACGGAACGTAATTAATTTTTATCACAATGATTCTACCGTCTTTTTCTTCTTCGATGTTTTCTGCGTGTGTCGTCTCCTTCCAGTAATTACTTGTCTCTGTCTGCGTATATCTACCTCCGTTCCTTTGCATTTATATTAATTCCAGCAGTAGATAGGTTGTGTATCTTCGGCTGTTTGTCTCTTCCAACAACCGCCAATTTGCATTATATATATATATCACACGTACTTTAGATTTTGCCATTTCTCGTCAATTTTTGCTTCTTTCCTTCACTTCCTTTTCATTCGTAGAGTTTTACCTATTAAACGTAAAACACAACAATTTAGAATATATTTTGTCAAAAGACTATCAAATATCGTTATTTTAGATCCCCGAATAAGTGTATAAAATACACTTATCAAACACCCCCAAACTCAAATATTTGTTTGCCTTCAAACAAAATTATAACCTAAATAATAACAAACAAGCATGCAAAAATATTTGGTTGGACAATCTAGCTTTTTTATCTCATGATTTGAGATCATCGTATTAAATCTACAAATCGTTTCAAAGTCACAATACCAAACCAACATCCACTCTTCCAATACAAAACCGACGTGTGTGTGTGTGAAAAATTAAGTAGACATTAATGACTTCACAAGTTGTTTCAATTTTCGACCCTCTATGGTCAAATATATCATTTCATCTCTCGTAAGATTCACACACCCTCAAACTTATTATATTTTTTTCACTATTTTTCCAGCGTGTGATCTAAGGTTGAACTTTTCATTACTATCCTTACCCTCTCTTGTTCAAGTGGACATCACTGGTTGCAAGTCAATATATCAATGAACAAGGATTCTCAATTAATTTGATTGCTTCGACCGCCAAGACTCAACTAGACTAATTATCTTTAATCGAAAGTTAAATTTTCTCGAATAAGTGTTAGGACTTAACAAGGTATTTAGTGCTTTTGTTTTGTCCATGCACTTGCTTTTTCTAATTTTTAAGAATTTTTTTTTTATTCTCTCCATTAGGCATTCTTGATGACCCCTGTAGCAGGCTTTAGGCCGATGACTCCCAAATTAGACGACTTTAGGGCACCAGATTTTAAGATATCCTTACAGGCTTAATAACTCGAGTCAAAAAGGCTTCAAAGAGAATAATTTATTTTTTTTCAAGTGCAACTTCATCTCTAATTGCTTTCTGTAACACCCCGAATTCTAATAATCCGAAACTTTACGAAACATGAATATACCTTGAAATAAACAATTTTAATATAACGAGAAATTCTGTAAAAGATTGAATAACATTTAATCAAAAGATAAATTTAAATATACAGAACGTTTGAAAACATATCATTCATCCAAAAATTATTAGAACAGTTAAAACTAATTGAAAATTTATAATGCACTTACAATTGGGTCAAAAATGAATAACCCATTATTAGTTCTAGTGTTTTTGAAAATTAAAATACTTCATAACGAGGATCCATTGGTCCAATAGCAAATCCATCCACCGCCGTCCAGCATACTAATTATTACCTGAAAATTGTAAATAAGGGGATGAGTATAACGAATTATACTCAATGAGATACTTGCTACTCCACATTCAAGTCAAACATGAAATTACAAATAAATTATCTTACCAACATAACATGAGAATTATCACACCATGACAAATAATAATTCTAGGAAGCGCTGCAAAATAACATGAATGCTAAATTGTGCCTTGAAAATAACGTGAAGACTAAATTGTGCCTTAAAATGTATCATGATTTCTCTCGAAGGAGCCTAAATTAAAGTAATTAAATTCATAATAACGTATTTGAAAAGATGTGGAAAAACCACTAATAGCACTAAGTATCTCACCTTTTGAAGATGAAAGTGGAGAATAAAATTGCAGAAATGTGATTGCAATTCCAAAGTCTTAAAAAATCTAAATAATATAGAGGAATATTTTAAAGAGGGAGAGATAATGGACGTGTAGTAGAATGTGGTTTTAGTGCTCTATTTATACTGTTGAAGTCGGGTAATCACGTGGGGGAAGTGAAATTTCAGCCATATTTAAATTCGTATTTCATGCAATCTTCTGAGAAATTGATTCATAATTCCCGATTGATATAGTATGACTGGAGATTAATTATTGGTTTTCTGTCAATTTTTATATTAATTACAATTACAACAAGGAAATGATAGGCATTACACTGCATGACTTTTACACGTGGACGGGGAAAACAAATCTGCCTCCTATTTGCATAATTTACTCTAATACAAACATCTTAAATTGTCAATCTCCTAATGGCCGAAAATTATAAAATGTATGCTTATTAATTAAATTAGAATTTCAGTCTAATCTTCCCAAAATTTGTTCCAATTAGGGGACACAATGATTACTAATTATATGGACACGTGAAAGTTGTAATGAAATGCATGGGTTACTCATGTACTAAAGTCTAACATCAAATAATTCAAATTCCTTTGATTTGCATTTAACTAAATTTGTAAGCAGGAATTACGTTTTAATTGATTCTTAAAAATGTATAATTATTAATACTTAATATAAAGACTTTGTTTAACCAAAACTTAAAATTCTAATTTATTTAGCTAAACTAGTGGTGACAGTCAACTGGCGAAAAATCTAATCCTTTAAAACTCTTATAACCATAATATTCTTTAGATGGCTAAAACTCGGGTTTAACTTGACCAAATTAAATTTTTCTTGAGTCCATAATTCGCCATTTATTATGAGCTTCAAAATGAACCCAATATTGGTAGAGTAATTCTAACTCCTTCAATAGTTAACTATTTGGCCCATTTAATAAAGTATAAAATAATTTGATTTTTTTTTCAATTTGGTCCCTCAACTAATAAGATAACTATAGAGATAATCAATTAACTTGTATAAGAACTTAACCAAACATTGCATTCCTATTAAATGGCAAATAAAAATATATGTGAATTTAAGTTAAAAATTCGGGATTCTACACTTTCTAAATGACCCATGTAACGAGCTTTAGGCCGATGACTCCCAAATCAGACGACTTTAGGGCATCAGATTTTAAGATACCCTTGCAGTCATAAAGTTTTAGAGAGAAGTTCTAAATTTCAAACTATATGCCTTGATTAGTGCAATGTACTTTATCACACACCTACTCAAGTAAACCGACTTCCAACTCAAGACTTCACCCAATTTTATCTTGTTAGTCTAAGACAATCCACACATAAGTTTTCACGCATGGAATCCCTGTCCACATTTATATCTTCCTACAATAGCAAAATCACCCCCAAACCGTGCTAAATTTGATCTAAGAAAAAATAATTTGTATGGTATGGACAAAGCGTCTATGTCCGATTAAATCAACCTATCAAGCATATGAATCAACTCATTTCATCACAATGTCAAACTCAATTCTAGTGCATGTATAATATCAAGTTTTGCAAAGTTGAGTTTCAATTAGTCTGCATGCATCTTATCCACAGTTCATAAATCAATACCAAATCTTAAATTTAATCATCATAGTCAGTCAAACTGTCTAACTTACACAAGCACACAAACAAAAGAATAAAAAAATACTTTTTTTTTGTTTTTATAAACACACAAAAATAAAAAATTTAACTCTTTTTTTTTTTTTTAGGAAACACATAAAAATATACGAAAAATCAAAAACTCAAAAGTTTTTCCCACCCCCAAACTTAAACCTGACATTGTCCTCAATGTCTTAAAATATAATTAAGAATACAAGGGGACAGGGAAGAAAAAGAAGAAAGTACTCCCGAATTTTCCTATTGAACGTAGAAGGCACTTTGGGCGACTGTTAGACATTCTCCTTCATCATATTTTCCCCTTAGTCTATGTTGGTTTGAGTGTTCCGCGACATCATATTCCTACATATGTCAGTTAAATCAAACATTAGAGATCAAATAACCTAAGACATGTGTTACTTAGCCCAAACATCTAATAAACCAACTAAATCTCAAAGACCTAAGAGAAAACGTGGTATGGATGATGAGTCCCTAAAATAAAAATTAATATAAATTATCTTAGGCTATTCTAAATTTAAAAAATGAAAATAAAATAAAAATAAAATGGATAGAGATATTGGGTTGCCTTTCAACAAGTGCTTAATTTATAGTCTTTAGCTAGACTTTGTTGTTTCTAGGCTCTTCATAGTGGCTTGAAAAGTGAATTTTCAGTTCTGCATTTTAAGTACTGGTTGCACTTCTTTCTTTCATCCTTCACTCTCCACATGATCAAGTTTTTATGGCTATCCCTACCAACAATTCCACCTACATTTGGCCGGCCTTTGTAACTCTCCCAGTGATCAACTCGTTGGCAGTTTTCAAAATATGATGGTTGCTTGATTGGATTCTCTATGGTGAAGCTCTGTTGCTTATCCTCCACCCTCAGGACTATCTTGTTTGTATCAAAATCAAGTAATGCCCCGACTTGTTGACAAGAATGGCCTTCCCAGTATTATTGGAATTTGGGATGCCTCTTCTATGTCTAGAATGATATCAACTGGAAAAATAAATTTTCCCGTCTTAATGAGCATGTCCTCGACTATTCCATAGGGATGTTTCAATGTTCGGTCCGCCAGCTGAAGGATAAGCCGCCTTGGGATCTCCCAATCCCAATTTCCTGTAAAGAGGCAAAGGAATTAAGTTAACACTTGCTCCTGAATCAATTAAACAATTAATACCTTGTAAGTTTCCTATGGAGCAAGGTAGAGTGAAATTCTCTAGATCTTTAAGTTTGGGAGGGATTTTGTGCTGGATGATCGTGCTGCACTCTTCAGATAGTGTTATTGTTTCACGCTCGGGCATCTTCCTCTTTTTAGTCAGCATCTCCTTCAAAAACTTAAAATAGTTTGGGATTTAAAGGATAACGTCAATGAATGAGATGTTGATATGCAACTTTTTGAGGATTTCCAGGAATTTCATAGCTTGCTTCTCCAATTTGGTCTTCTGTAACATTTGAGAAAAAGGGACCAGAGGTGTCAGTGAAGTGTCAGGAACATTTGCCTTAAAGCTGTGGATTGTCTAAAACTGTTTGTTGGTCCTTTTCTATTTCTTCTTCAGATTGTTCCATCGGTTTCTTATCCTTCGTAGGCATTTGAGTTTTCTCTGTCTCCTTCCTCTTTACAATGATTTCTGGCAATTGAACACCACTCCTAGTAGTGATGGCCTGAACCTTCTCTGCTGTTAGCTGGCGTTGAAGTCTTTGAGGAAATGGAATGGGTGGTACATAAGCTTTGACAGGGATCGTGGATCTGGTAGATGGGAGCTCAATAGTTACATAATTTACCACCTCAACTGCTAATACCTGCTCCCGTGGGTTCTTCTCCCTGTCACTCGGCAAGGTACCCTGTGGTCTGTTGGCTAATGTAGCTGCTATCTGTCCCACCTGATTTTCTATGTTATGTTTGGAAGCCTATTGATTCTGCATTACTATTTCAGTCTTGGTGATGTGTGTGACCAGTAGATCTTCTAAGGATTGCCTCTTACCTTGCTGTTGCTGAATTACTGGTGGATTGCCCTACATCTGATTTACTTGATCTGGATTATCCACCCACAAATAGTTGGGATACTTGTTCAAACCCGGATGGTAGTTGTACGGGTAAGATCCATTTTGCCTCTGATAGTTCTGCGCATAACTGACCTCTGCTTACTGACACATGTGAGTAGAAACCAAATGGCAGCTTGAAGTGATGTGATCTTCCCCACAACCTACGTATACATGAGCTGGATGTTGTACCATGTGTACAGATTGAGTTAAAGTGTCGAGCTTCTTCGTTATTACTTCCATCTGCGTTGCCAATGCTGTCACTGCGTCTACATTATGTAATCTAGCTGCTTTTCTCGGAGCTTCCCTATCTGTTAGCCAGTTGGCCTGATTCTCAGCAATCCTTTCAAATAAATTATGTGCATCATCCACCTCGATAGTCAAAATTGATCCGCCCGCAGAAGCATCAACTATATTGCAAAATTCACCGCGCAGTCCATTATAGAATACATATATTTGTGCCAGTTTAGGAACATCGAGATTTGGACATTTCCTAAACGCACTTTTGAACCTGTCCCATGCTTCTAGATATGTCTCATGGTCCTTCTGTCTAAAAAGATACACTTCGTTTCTGATTTGGTGGACTCGAGACAGTGGGAAGAATTTCATGGTAAATTTTTGTACCATGTCATTCCACGATACGATGCTTCCAAGAGGTTGTGAGATCATCCATATTTTTGCACCCTCCTTCAAAGTGTGAGGGAATAAACACATTCGGAATGCATCTCGTGACATCCCCTCATGACTAATTACTGTTAGAATTATAGTTGTTCAAAATAATAATAATAATAATAATAATAATAATAATAATAATAATAATAATAATAATAATAATACAATTTGTTGTGGGCTTAACCATGCTGCCGCATGAAGCCCTCCTGAGAATGGGAGGGCCACTTGCACTATAACCATGCGACTGCATGGTTATAGCCCATGCGGTCGCATGGTTATACAAAGTAACCGTTGGGAATTCGTTTTTCACCGTTTTTCTTTTGAATTTGGTGCCTTTTCAACATAATTTTGCACCATTTCGTGGGAACTCTTCAAAGCCTATATATAGGTGTTCCAATTGCAATGAAAAACACTCTTGAGAAAATTAAGAAATCCACCCCAAAATTATTCTCCCAAATTATCACATAATCAATCCTATATCTATTTTCACTTGTTCTTTGTGAAAGATACACTTTGCTTTTGGTGTTCTTCACACAAAGGCTTGTTTAATCCTACAAACTATTTGCCGAAACTCCTCAAAAGCATTGGAAAGGGGGCAAATAACGTTTGAGGATAGCGTTATCATTTTCGTGTTCAAGCCTCTAATCATATCTATATTCTTTTCCTCTTTGGTACTACCAATTTTCTTCTCTTCATTGCTTTAAATTTCCAACAAACTCAAACGTTTTTTTATTTACTGCAATAGAGTCAGAATCTACTATTGCTACTATCAAAATGATGAATCAAGATCTGGTGCGTTTGGATAGATTCAATGGTGCAAACTTTACAAGATGGCAAGACAAACTCAAGTTTCTTCTAACGGCGTTGAAGATCTTCTACGTGCTTGATTCAAAATTGGAACTCATTCCCGATGCAACTGACAAGGACACCGAAGAAATTCGCATAGAAAGGAAGAAACGAGAAGAAGATGAATTGATATGCCATGGGCATATTCTAAATGCATTGTCCGATCGACTATATGATCTCTACACAAACACTACTTCGACTAAAGAAATCTGGTATGCATTAGAAAGCAAATACAAAGCCGAGGAAGAAGGTACTAAAAAGTTTTTAATATCTAAATATTTTGATTTAAAATTTTTTGACAATATATCTTTATTGCGTCAAGTACATGAGTTACAAATAATTGTAAACAAATTGAAAGTGGTAAAAATTGAACTTCCCGAAACTTTCCAAGTGGGAGTAATTATTGCTAAACTCCCTGGTTCTTGGAGAGGATATAGGAAGAAAATTCTTCACAATTCCGAAGATTTTTCTTTAGAAGACATACAGAAACATCTTCACATTGAGGAAGAATCAAGGGCAAGAGATAAGATTGAAAATTTTTATGATGGCTAATGTCAAATGGATTTAATCACAATTCAGTAGATAAATGTCTCTATACAAAAGTGAATGGTGATATAATCACATTAGTGTGTCTATATGTTGATGATATGCTAATCATTAGTAACAATATAGACGGAATCAAAGAAACAAAATGATTTCTATCCTCTACTTTCAAAATGAAAGATCTTGGAGAAGTAGATATTATCCTCGGAATCAAAGTAAAGAAGGATAGTGGGGGTTTTACATTAAGTCAATTACATTATATTGATAATGTGATAAATAAATTTAAACATTTGAACATTAAAGAGGCGAATACCTCTATAGATCCAAATATAAAATTAATCAAAAACGAAGGTAGAGCAATTGCACAAATAGAATATGCAAGTGCAATTGGAAGTCTTATGTATGTATCACAATGTACAAGACCTGATGTGGCATTTGCTGTAAGTAAACTAAGTAGGTTTACTAGCAATCCAAG